GAATGGCGAAATTGGTGAACAGGTCGAAATCTTGAGTCGAAATCTTTAACGCCACACCGGAAAAAAGCGTTCTCTCAAACCCATTGGTAAGTGGAAAAAATAAATCTTAATTTTATTTCAAACAATAGGTCGGAGCTTGCAAAATTTCGAAATTTTGAAAATACACTTTTTTGAGTCGCAACAATGCAACAATGATTAAACTTTTTTGTAAACTTCCCAAAATTTAATTCCAACTTTTTTCAAATCATTTTGGACAAAGTGACGGTGTCCGAGTTGAAAACTTGTGCTCGGATAAATTCTATTTTTTCCTCGGAAGCGATCAAACTATTGGACAAAAAGTCAAAAATCAACTTGAATTCGATCCACCGTCAGCAATCGTACTTTAAAAACTTAAAAAATGGGGGACGAATCCCGACCACGTGCATCGTCGAAATGAAGGTCCATCTCGCAGAACGCTTTTCGAACATTCCGTTCGAAATAATGCGGACAATTGGTGGGGACAAGATTCGAATTTTCAAGATAAACGTGGAATGACAAAGTAAACGGTGGATTCTTATTATAAGGATAAGGGCTTTTAATACCAAAACCCCAAGGCCTTCCTTACCCGGATATTCATTATTATCAGGGTAAGGAAAAACCTGGGGTATTGCCATTGAAACCCCTTACCTAGAGGTTTTACATGTGTTTTTGGGGTAATTGATTTTTGATTGGAATATTTGAATCGAAGTATGAAATAAAATGGAGTATGTATTTGTGTATGTAAAATGCAGTATTATATTACGTATGTACACACTCTAAAGAAAGTTGTAGAAAATTTCTACAAGGTTGTGTAAAATTTTGTCCAACATTGGGTAAAAAAGAGGATGACACAACCGTTGGTTAAATTTTACTCAACTTGGTTGAGTAATTGCTCAACAAGTTGTGGAATTTTTACTCAACACGTTGTGGAATTTTTACTCAACAAGTTGTGGAATTTTTACTCAACACGTTGTGGAATTTTTACTCAACAAGTTGTGGAATTTATACTCAACTGAATGATTAAAATTTACTCTTTGGTTGATCAAAGGTTGCTTTTTATGCTGATTAAAATAGATTATTTACCTAATTAGCTCACCCTGCGTAGCACGGGAGCTATTGAATTCCTCTTGTCCGTCCGTCTGTCTGTCTGTCTGTTAACGAGTTTTTTGCATGAATTGATGCTAATTAAAAATCCCCTTCACAATTATTGATTATGTTAGGCGCACCATTGGTATTGAACAAACTGGATCGAATTTTTTTAGTAAATAAATAGCACAGTTGATATCTAATAATCGGTAACACAAAATGATGCGAAATAATTGGGGGATGGGATGCAAAACGCACCAATAGTACAGAATATCCGGGAGAAATGATCATACAATTTTGACAAAGTTTTCAAAATTATATAACCCGAATGGTCGCTAATTCTGCACTAATGGTGCAATGGCGGGCCGAATCTTTTGCACCATAAACGGCATATATATAATGAATATATAAGAGTTGTGATCTATTTTGTTGGCTTATTCCGCACCTTCGGTGCAAAGTTCTGTCTCAATCATTATGACAGGGTGAGCTACTTCTAACGTTACTACGGTTTATTAAAACTCATTATTTATTGTAATTGATACTCATTTTATGTTATAATTATAAATTGTACATATGAACAAAAATATTAATTTTCATAAATTTAGTTGGATATTACTTACAAATTCTAAACACAATTAAAATTTTGACAGATAGTCCAACGAAACTCTAATCCACTAATCTCTCTAGCTGTTTTGATTTTAATTAAATAACTGATGAAATTATTTCAGCAAACGAACCAGCGGCACCGTCCAGGAACTAAAAAAACTTTGTCGCCACCATCGGTCTCTATAATAAAAAAATTAGCACAAATAAATATTTCAATTTATTGCTAAATATGACCAAATGTGCACAAAAATACATAAAAATCACCTTACCTTTGAACTTATCTGCATATTGGAGTCAACCGGTAATTTGAAGAGACTTTTTAAAATGAGGAGTTAATTTACTGCTGCTCCTTTTTAACTTGCTGTAACTAACTGACAGCATCCGTGTGGCTGATAAATAGGCAGAGTTGGTTTTACTCAACACGTTGAGTAAAAATTTATTAACGCGTTGAGTAAAAATTAATCAACTTGTTGTTTATTTATCGCCCAACATTGATTAATTTTATATTTGATCAGCAAAAAAGTCAAATTTTGATCAATGTTGAGTAAAACTAACTTTACACAACTTTATTGTGTAAATTTTACCCTTTAGAAGCATAAATTTTGTCCAACGTTGAACAAAACTTGATCAATTTCATTTTACTCAACCAGGTTTGCTCAACTATGTTTAGAGTGCATGTATAGCATGGGGTCAATATGACTTGGGCCAAAATGTCATGGGGTCAATATGGTTCTGGGTCAATTTGTCGTTGGGTCAAAAAAGCTCTGGATCAATTTGTCGTGGGTCAATCTGACTGGGTCAATTTGACGCGCCACCGGGACCACCTATACCTTACATACGTCAGAAAATATTCGATTTTGAACCCACCAACTAAGCGTATTTATACATTACGGGAGTGGGAGCTTTAACATGGAAAAGATAGGAAGACCTACATACATAATGCAGTCACCCATTAAATGATGACGTAACTTATGCCCGTTCCCTATCAGTTTAAGACATAGCTTGGGTTTCAGAAATAGACGTGGCTTTGACGCATGTACAGTCGTCAAATTTGAATGTTTTTATTTTTGAAACCGCTATAACTTTTGAAATTTTGGACGGATTTTCAAAATATTTGGCAAAAATCATGACAAGGAGTCAAACTTTCGCATCCAATCAAATTTTTCGAAAAGTTGTCGCTTTTAACGTTTCGCAAAATTTTCGTAATTTTCTTTGAAATGGGGGTTCGTCTAAAAAATGCTAAAAATATCTCCAAAATTATAATTTTTGTATTTTTATTTTTTTCTCCAAAAGTTCGACTTTTGTGATCATTATATGCATAAAATTTTGAAAATCCGACATAAACTGCAAAAGTTATGGGGGTTTAAAATTGGTCGGAAATGCAAATTTTTAAGTTTGGCGCCACGCCATGGCGCCAAATATGAGTTTTACACAGAAATATGAATTGATCCTGCATTTGGGGTCCTAGTAGATTCTAATAAAAAACATAGTGGGTACCCTGGACTCAAACGACAGGTCGTGAGTGTCCCTTGTTAGATCAATACTAATTAAATTTTTGGGTTCAGCATGAAATTTTGAGGATTTTGATGTTCGACTTGCATTTCCAAGTATCATTGCATATTTATCCCTGTTTTTTACCTAACCTTGAATAAACTTTACTCATTTTTATTTAGAGTACGGTAATTCCCGTTAATACCAGTAAAGTAATGCCAGTAAAGTCATATATGTACTCCGGTCGGTAATGAGTTAATACCAGTTTTTTAAGAGTGTGTATATCGCAGCGTAAATGGTTCACTTATTTTTAATAATTGAAAATAATGGTTAAAAGGTTGTGTCTACAGTGACAAAAATTCCTTTCCAGGTATTTTAACCGTCTGTCTGGGCACATAAAAAATTCTAATTTTTATGGTTTCACAGCCTTGTTAAGTAAGGATTACAGGACTAAAAATAAATTTCCTTTGTCAACCGCATATTTACATGTGTCTCTTCGAACCATGGTGGACTGGACTTGTGGTCGGTAAAAAAAGGTTGGTGTTAAAATAATGGGGCAAAGGGTTGTGCACTGATGGGCCTAAATACATTTTTCGTTAGTACATGCACTCTTAAAAATGGGGCTACGATTATAACCAAAAAGTAAACGTACATATGTGAGTCTACCGCCGAGGTTATGAATTTGTCATCGAGTGGTTACAATTGTTACCGACTAATTATGAAGTTTCACCAACATGGTATTATATTGTCACCAGAGCTAATAAATCTATAACCAGTTGGTGGCAAATTTGTAACCACGGCGGTAGAGTCACGTACGTATATTTTTTAGTTATAATTGTAGCCCATTTTTAAGAGTGTATGAGTTCTTAAAATATCTACACTTTCTTTAAGAAATTCATGCAGGGTGCCAAAAAAAACAGCTTGGTCCTTAAGGAACGTTAAACTTTGGTTTGGGACAAGCCGAAACAACTTATTCAAAACTTAACATTATCAAAATGGGACTTTATTCTTTATCAAATTCTGAGCAATATGCAAGTTGGTAACGGCCCGTTCACATATTACGTCAGAATAATATAGGGGGAGGGGGTCGAGCAAGTGTTGACTATTGTTGACGGATAAAGGGGTAAGGGGTTTGGGTATGTTGTCGTCAACCTTTTTTTATTGGAGCAAAATTGGATTTGCTGCATCGTGCGAAATTTTTTGGACCTTAGCACAAAAATTTACCCGTTTTTTCACGTTTTTTAATTATTTTTTTAAAATTTGTCTCACGTTTCCCCATTATGAAAAAAAGTTGACGCCAACATTGGGGTGGTGGGAGGGGGTGAAGAAAATCTTGATAATTGTTGACAACAGGGGGGGGGGGTCGAAAAATCGGGTTTTTTATGACGTAATATATGAAAGTGCTCTAACACGGCCCCAATTTCTAAAATTCACACGCATACAAAATTGGAAAAACAGTCAAACCTTATTAAAATACCCGTATTACGTATCAAATTTTTCAGAAATGACGAATATGAAGTCCAATTCCAAAAATAATGATTCTTAAATAATTTAGTTTTCAAATAACTAAAGACATACATAAATATCCCAGCATATTTTGTCATTTTGCACGGTAAAAACTATTTTTCCCAGATATTTTTCCCACTTTTTCCCACCTGCCGTGGTAAATTAGTTTTGGTTGGAAACCCTGCTTATTACACACTTGTCTCCTTAAAAATAAATACAACGGGTCCGCACAACACTATAGACCCTTGCCCCTTCAAGTATGTAAAGGATTAGTCTCCTTTTGAGATAAAATGTACCCTTCCTCCTTCCTTCCCTTCACTTGCCTTCTGCCCTTCAACCCTTTCACATTCCTTTCCGTGTGTAAAATAATAAACTCATAAAAACTCGAAATTTTAAGTTTAAACTTTCAAGAAACATACATTTTGTACATAATAAAATTCCAACTGCAAAAAATATCGGAATTTTTAAATTCAAATTAACAAAACATTTACTTTAAGTTAAAACCCGTTGTGTTATAAAAATGTCCGCCTACCCCGACACTCCTCTTCTTCCTCCTCCCCCTCCCCCGAAAAAGGGGGACGACCACTTTTTCCTCAAATTTGCCAAATTCAACTTAACCGCCGTCATCGTTGCAATAATCGTGTTTCGCATTCTTCCTTATCTGAACCGGGCAGAAATTCAGAGTGATGGCAGCACGTGGTATGCGACACGTTGGCACGCATATGCCGCGAGTTCCTCGCCCCCAACGGGAAATTCGGCCACCAACGTGACAATCAGGGTTGATCGCGTAACAACAAAGTTGTTCGGGAGCGATTTGGCCCTGAACTTCGACCTCGTGCAGGAATGGGAAGATAAGAGACTGGCCGTCGTACAGGAGGACGGGATTCGAACGAAAAGTGGTAAGTGAAAAGGGGTCAAAGTATGCAAAAAATATAAACTCAAAGGAAATCCGGTAACTAAGTTATTACCAGGCGGAGTATCTATGTGACTCTACCGCATGGTAATTTATTTATTATTGAGTGGTAGACATTTTGTTACCAAGCCGGTAATAACCCCGGTCGCGAAATTTTAAAATATTGCCAGGTTGTAACTAATTTTCTACCACGCAATAATAAATAAATTACCATGCGGTAGATTCACATAGATACTCCGCCTGGTAATAACTTAGCTACCGGATTTCTTAGAGTGTAGGTATATGTACGTATTTATGTAAAGGCTCGGATACACTGATCCATTCTAAAAGTCACACTTCGACATTCTTCTGCTTCAAAAAATTTAAACTTTATGAAATTATTCAGTTTTTTGTAACTAATTCAAAATTATTTAGCATGCGTGGTGCACTTCATAATGAACAAAATTGGTGTGAAATAAGTTTGTCAATTAGGCTTCCTTCAGACCTTTCTAATAATGGTGGGTTTGGAGGAAATGGGAAATTACTTTTTTTAAGTTGTATTTTTATTTTTAGCCGACATAACAACGAAGAACGTGGAATCGATTGTGAATCAAAGACATGGGAAATTTACCCCAATCTGGAAACCATCCCTGGCCACGGTGCCTCCCCACGTGGCGGATAAAAGTAACGAAACAACCTGGCTCCGGCAAGATGGCGGGGTACGTCATAACTGAAATGCTTATGTCAAGATTTACTGCTTTAGTTTTTAAATGCGATAGTGTGAAGTGTAACCCTCCGACTTTGTTAAAATTTTGAAATTATGTTGTACATGTCGATACAAGCAACGTTGCTTGACACATTTGTTCGATTTACTTAAAATATTTGAAGTCAAAGTTGAAAAAGGGGCGATTTTTCCCATTCAAAGGGAATGTGAGTGGGGTTTGCTTCCTCCGCTTGGTAGGAATTTTAATAATTCGTCGATTCGAAAAATGTTTTGGAAACTTTGGACCGTTTACAAGAACATCATTTCAATTTTTTTAAATTTGACCCTATTGACTTGTAATCGATGTCGTGAGGTTAAAAAATTTCCATCGCTCTTTAAAATACGTTGTAGGGAATTTTCTGCAAATTTCGAGGTATTAGGCGCTGTCAAGGAGCATTATGGCATTCATATGTATGTACCTACAGGACAAAATATAGACATAAATATCTATGTATTAAAAAATCTACATATATTGGCTAAGAGAAGGGTTACACTTCACAACATCGTTATCGTATTTACCTATTGTTTACACACTATAAATAATTTTAAGACGAATCGTCACCCGCGGAGATGCTGTAGTGCTCTGTTCTTGGTTAACGATTTAGACACATTTTATCATCAGGGAGAGATAAGCCAAAAACTCATGTATCAAACACACGTGACGCCGTAATTTAAAAAAATTGAACATTTTTATCGGACAATAAGACGTTTTTTTACTGACAGTATTGAATTTTTTAAATCACGACGTCACGTGTGTTTAATACACGAGTTTTTTACTTATCCCCTCTTGGTGATAAAAGGTCTCCTAAATCATTACCCAAAAATAGGGCACTATAGTACCTCCGTGTGGTGACGATTTGTCTCCAAAATATTTAGAGTGCATCGCACGCGGGACGGATTTTTCATGTGAAAAAGTTTAGCAAACACGGGGAAAAGTTACATTGATTTGAAGTAGCACTCTCATTTAATACACTTTTTAGTTAAATTCGAATAATTCCAATGAAGGAATAATTTAACATAAGCACAAATCAAAAAAACGCGCCGTTTCGTCCGTCCTTAGTACAAAGCTTTAGAACATTCCATCATTATGAAGCAAAAGATTATCAGCGTCTGACTAATTATGTAACAATTGAACCTTTTTCCAGCTACACCAGGATTAGCTGGCGAGTTATATCAAAAAATCAAGCCAAAAATTAGGAATCATATGATGCTTATCTTTCCGCTGAATTGCCGCTTTGAAAAAAATTGGTGATTATCATTCAGCGCAATCATAAGCGCCATGCGATTCCTCATTTTTGGCTTGTTTTTTTTCAATAACTCGCCAGATAATCCTGGTGTAGCTTGAAAAAAGGTTCCGTTGTAAATTATGAATTCTACATATCGTCGTAATAATTCATAAAAGAGCTAAGTGCTGTCGATGCTTAGTTCAGGAAAGACCTAAGTGTAAAGAAAAAAGTAAAAAAAAGTCCTACATATGTGCAAAATATGTATTTACTTATGGCGATATCTTCCAGCCAAAACGAGTCTTCATATCGCGAGATTTAGCCATAAGTAAATACATACTTGTACATAGGTCTTTTTGACTGTTTTCTATACAATTTGGTCTTTTCTGAATTAAACATCGACTGCACTTAAGTCTTTTAAGAATTATTACGACGATACTTCAGTAAATTCATAAATTCCTATACTATTATTTAAATAGGTGATGCGAACTCAATCCATCAACATCGTCGCGGCTCCGGCCCCGGGTTCCGGTCCCTTCAACGAAACTGACTCTGTACACTACGTCGTGAAGATCTATTCCACCCGGGAATTTCAAAGTAGGGTCGCGTTACAGTGGAACATTTCCGAACCGTTCCGTTTCATCTCACCCAACCCAGAAAATTTAACGTATTCAAATCCTTGGCGGGTCGATATTACGACGGGGCAATGTGACATGCATGTCAACTGGGGTGATTTTCTCTTAACTAAGTTAAGCTGCCTGGAGATGGGGTTTAAATTGCGCAGGGTACAAAAACCGGAGGTCAAAATCCCTGACAATTTGAATACCAATAGTACCGTCCTAGAACTTTTGTTCGCAGCTTATGGCACAATATTGTGTATAATTTCGTTCCATGTGTATCGTGTTTACTCGCGGGCGGAATTTTTACCTTGAGTTTGTTAAGCTATGTTTGTCAAAATTTTATTTGTGCAGGATTTTAGTTTTTAACAAAATTTCGAAGTTTTTTATAACCGCATTTCTTCCAGCTCATATTTCCTCTTGTCTAGATTTTTTGTCCACAATGTTTTTTACCACTGAATAAATATCCAAAATTCCTTAAAAATACCGTTATTTCGCACATCAAGATCTTAATTTACATGCACAAATAATCGGCTATAATATTAGATCCGGGTGCCATGCCAGTTTCCGCAATGTCTCTGAATTTTTGGGGAACTTTAAATTTTGCATTAAATTCAAAATGTCGCAAAAAATTGCAACCAAATTTGCGTTTAATATTTATCATGGGAAATATTTTTTCCCATACGATCTGTCAATTCACCTCTTAATAATGAAATCACACTTTTTAATCATATTTATTTCATATTTATTTGTTAAAGCATGCATTTATCAAAACAATTACGTAATTTCTTATATTTAAAAATTTCGCAAACATCAAAAAACAAATTATTAGTCTTCATCCCCCTTTGAGCCACCTTTCGGATTTTCATCGTCTCCCTCCGAAATTGCGGAGGCCACAGAGTCGCCATGCTCCGACATGGCGTCCGCTCTGGAGGCGCCTCCCTCCGAGACGGACGTCGCCTGAGAGCCGCCACCCTTCACGGCGGACGAGATAGAGTGCGAGTCGCTCTTCCTTTCGCATGTGAGTTCGATTCCGCATGTCCTCCCCCAGTCGCTTCAGCCAAGGACTAAAAATTATTCCAAAATAATTTTTCAGAAATTTAAATAAATATGTAACTGCATTTTTAGTTAAAAAACTTCAGATAAAATTTAAATTCTTTCAGAAATTTAAGTCAATAAACTTTAAATTAAATTTCAAAGACTTGTGTAGGATTCCAAACGAATTCGTAATTATTTCAGTAATTTAAATAAGTTTGTTTGAAATTAAATTTCAATGAGTTTAGAATCTAAAAATATTACAATTATTTCAGAAATTTAAATAATGGATCTTTAATAATATTTGACACACTCAAAAAATCGAATTGTTTCACAAAAGCACATAGATTCGTTTGGAATTATACTCCTAAACAAAGACTCAATCAATTGCATTAGTAATTCAAAATCAAATTTTTGTATTTAAGAACCCAAAAAAATTCCCTAGCATTTCAGAAATTTAAATAAATTTTTAACCAAATTCAAACCTGTGAATCCCCTCCGCCCTCCGTCATCGACCCCGACACCGCATTCCCCTCTCCTTTCGCCGTCGCCACCGCTCTCGAACCGCCCCCTCCTTCCCCAATACTGGACGACAACGCGTCCCCCTTCCCCCCAGACACGGCATTCGATTGGGATCCCCCGCCATGTTCCGCTTTTGAATTTGCCTCTGCCGCGTCATCCTTGGAAACCGCGTTCGCACTCGAGGCTCCCTTTCCTTTCGAGGATGACGTCCCAAACGCGCAGCCACCTCCGGTCGCGAGCGCGCTGGATTTAGCGCCGCCATCCCCATACGTTTCGGATCTCGCTTGAGCGTCCGCATTTTTCGTGGTGAGCGCCGTAGAGACGGCGGACGTGCCGTTGATCGCATTCGCTATAGCGCCCAGACCAACCTTATCGACCGCGGTGGCTGTAGCGGCGCCATCGATAGCAGCTGCGTTGGCGGTGATGGCGCCCTTCGCGCCGGATTTTAAGTTGGCGGGTGAAGATTTACCCTTAGTGGGAGGATTTTCAGAGTCGACGGGCTCATTTTTAGGGTTGTTGTTATCATCCTCGTTTTTATCGGCGGGTTTCTTTCGTTCGAATGCGCGCGCGATGGATGGCTTCGGTGGTTTCTTATTCCCGCCACCGCCACCGTTGTCGTCTCCATTTCCGTTATCGTAATCATTAATCTTTTTAGTTTTTCCATATTTTGGGCGGGAATTTTCCTCCTCATCGCACGTCAAGGATCGACAATTACGGTTTTTATTTGGCCCGCTGTTGTCGTCGTAATCATTGTTGTTTTTATTTTTTGTGATTTTTGGGCGGGTGGTTTCTTCCTCGTCGCACGTTAAGGATCGGCAATTACGTTTTTTATTTGGGCCCCCATTGTCATCTCCGCCTCCGTTTCCGGTTTCATAATCATTATTTTTCTTATTTTTCCTATTTTTTGGGCGGGAGTTTTCCTCTTCGTCACAAGTCAAAGATCGGTAATTACGTTTCTTATTTGGACCTCCGTTGTCCTCTCCGTTTACGTCGTCATCAGTAATTTTTTTAGTTTTGCCATATTTTGGGCGGGAGTTTTCCTCTTCATCACACGTCAAAGATCGACAGTTACGTCTAAATTAGAAAATAATTAAGTTTCTCATGAATTGTCACAAATTCATGTCAAAAAATATTTCATTATTAAAAATGTATTCAATTTACAAATTAGAAAAAAATTGTTCATTTATTCAGAATTGGAAAATCAATGAGGGTATTCATTATTTCTTCGTATCCATCGTATCGTAAAATAGTTTACGAAGAAAAAACAAGGGGTCAGGTTTAGTAAAAATCGTAAGCGTAGTAACGTGATTTTCGATGACAAAATCTTACGACGCTTACAAAATCTCGTAAGCGTCGTAAGTTATTTTACGATACGAAGAATACTAAGGATACGAAGAAATAATGAATACCCTCAATATTTATTCGTTACTAATTTTTTACTCATTGAATCTCAATTTGTTTTATTAGATGAATTTTTCAACAATGGATTAAGTATAGCGTGCAAAATAAATATATAATGAGTAAAATTATTAATTTCTTCTCTATTAATATTAAATGAATAAATAGTTTGTAAATATTCACTAATCCTTAAATTTTGAAAATATTATTATTCACCCATTATTCATGAATTTATTAAATAATCCATAAACAATTTATTCATGAACAGTTTATTCATTCATTCTTAGTATTATTATTATTCATTTATTAAATAAATTATAATGAATGTGGACAGGTATATTTCTAAATGACGAGAGGTTAAAAAAATATGAATTTACTTGTTTGGAGGTCCCTCGTAGTCTTCATCTGCATTATCCTTTTCTTTCGTCAAACTTCTACGTTCTCGTCCAACCACATGGCCAGTTAGCTCGTCATTATTTGACGCAAATTTTAAATTTCCGACTGGCACGCAGTCAACTTTCCATGTCAAATTTAACGACGCGATGACGACGACAAAAAACTTGGGCGACAACATGACGACTTGCACCAATCAAAATTTCGTTCGCGACTGAGGACACGAGCCAGGATTTCAGAATGCAATTGTGTAAATTAAGACAGGAATAGACATCAATTAAATTATTTTAGAGGGCATTGTTTCCCAAGAAGGATGCAGATTTGTGGTGGAAATTCTAAACTTGTGTGTTTCTTCAATGGGTGAATGGGTAGTTAAAAGTGTGAACGATGCGAATGAGTAAGTAATGCTTAAATATGTAATTGTGTAGCGTAATTCTTGCATAATACGTACATCGTTGGCAGAATTTTACATACGTCACGTATGTATTTATGCAAATACATACCTAAATAAGTATCTACATACACTCTTAAAAATCTGGCTGACTTTAAAATCTTAAACTGGCTGAGGTTAATTTTACCACGATTATCGCCACGCGCTGAAGCCACATACATATTTTCTCCTCGCGGTGACAATCAACATATGATTTTTTAAGTGTGTATATGACTTAATTCAACATTACAATTCCGAGTGAGTTTACTTTTCCAAAGGGTGACAATATTTTTAAGAGTTAATGAATTTACCTGTTCACGTTCAGTCATGTGACTGATTATGATAGTGAATGAACATGACCATTTTTGCAACACGAAACCCGTGATAATTTCGAGGCCCCTAGTCAATCAAAGCTGAAAGAAGGGGTCGACTACATTATGAAATCGGGAGGGACAATTTACGTTCATTGTAAAGCTCGGGGACGCGGAGTGCGACGTGCTATTTGATAGAGGTATATATGTAAATATTCAGTGACTGGTTGAATTTCTGTCCGATAATTTATAGATAAAATATGTAAGCATTTTCAACCTTGCCAGAAAAATAAGTGGATACCTTCCCAAGCGATAAGTCACTTGCGAGAGTGCAGATCACACATATTCTTAGGCCCAGCACGAGTAAAAGCGATCTATACTTATTACGAGGACAATGTAGCAGAAATGATGGAAGGTGCGTTATAAGTTTCCTTGGAAATACGAAATTTCAAAAGGGAGAATTTGTCAATATTTATCTCATGTTTCTGGATTTTTACTTGAGGGCTAATAAGTAATAAATAAAAGGATGTATCCCGGCTATACAAATTAAATTGTAAGAGCTAGTAACATATCGAACATCCTGAAAGTAAAATTAAGTAAAATAAATATCCCAGCTCTACAAATCTGCTCAATTTTAAGTAACGATTTGAAACAACACTTTCCAATCAGTGCAGAATAAATGTATGCAAATAATGCGAAATTATGAATATTAATCTAAAAAAAATAACTACATATTATTATGTACTGCCATTACAGTCACTGTGTTTGAAATATGCGTAAAAAATATATTTACATAAGTATTTCCCCCATTTTAACTTTTACGTATTTCAAAAAATATGAATCGTAGATACCTATTTGTAAAATTTATTTCCTTTTGGGTAAACCAGTGGCAGCGGAAGTTGGGGGGACATGTTAGCATTGTGAGATAGGAGCAGGATTAACAGGGAGAAGATAGGATTTTTCTGAGTTTCGGGGGGTAAAATTTCCCCCTGTCGCCACTGTGATGGAACATATTTGTCGGGTAGCATAAATGTCGTTTACATAAATGTCGGTTACATATGTGTCGTATCACCGATGGGAACTACTGACATCATACACTTTCTTGGCTAGGATTGCCAATCTTAGATGACTTCAGCCCGCATATATTTCTCTACCGGGATTGACCACGGACCTAAGTAAAGCGCCGGCCTGCAAACCCCTTTCTCCCCTTGTGAGACCAAGTAGCGAATCAAATCTGTGAAATAAAAATGGCAAAAATTTTAACCAATGTGCTAATTTAAAGTGGGACAACCCACCTAAAATTTGCCACTGTCTGTTTTCATCGAGTTTTTTCGCCTCACCAGTGTCCTCCTGCCCCCTCATGCGCCGCCGTCGGGCCCGGGTCGCATGGCGAAGTTCGTCCTCGCGGAAGATCTCTTTTATCAAAAATTTTCTCCCCATACAAACCGGGCCCTTGGAACGGTACAGTTTCTCAGCGTCGGTCCACGTTTTATTACAAAAAGCATGTGTGCGCGTAGTCTCGCCGATTTTTAGTGTCTGAGAAAACAAGCATAATTTCAAGGATTTTGCAACTATCTTAATTATCACCACTTAAAAATTCTACATGCTAATAAACTGTGACTGAGAAACGTGTAAATTGCAATTTTGATATGAGTCCAAACAAGCTACACTCAAAACAAAAATTTGTCAAATCAACACCGCCGGTGTCAATATATGACTTAACCGCCTTGGTTACAATTGTGATTCCGGGTGGTAATGAAATTTTTCCGACCGGTCATAACATTAAAACTACCGGTATCAAAATCATCATAATTCGGAATCAACAATGTAACCAAGGGCGGTTAAGTCATATATTGACACCGGCGGTGTTGATTTGACAAATTTTTGTTTTAAGTGTAGAAATGGTTACTGATTGATGGCGGAATTATTTGTGCGTTTTATGCATATTTCATGCAAATTTGTCATTTGCATATTTTGACGCATTGGCGAGAGATATAAAGTTTATTGAAAAGGAGAACCCGTATCTCTGAAAATGAGCATAGTTAAATTTATGCAAATAAGGTGACAAACATAAGCACATATGAGCACAATATGCATAAGGACGCCAGTGACCTATGTATGTACCCCTACCCTTTTTTGGAATTAAAATAGAAAATTTAGTGGAAAGTTTTTTTTCAATCTATTTCTGCTGATGTTTAATTTTAAGCAGAGTTGCTGATGATATGAGACGGTCTCATCTCATCCCCTGAGTTCAGGCCCCGTTTTGGGTATAGTCGAGCTAGGCAACCGGCTAGGGTGCCAGAGTTTTGAGATCCTACACTACAGATCCTACACTACAGATCCTACACTACATAGAAACAACTTTGCGCAATTTTATAATTTGTCGTGGAAAATAACATGAAAAACTGACTTACACTGAAATCTGTACAAAACTTTATTTGTAAGTATTATTGACAAATTTCAACTAGAAAATCCTGCCAGGTAGATTTTCCATTAATAAGTTCCTTTAATAATAAACTGCAATTTCTTTGTAACACTAACAATGTTGAAGTGTGAGGTGGTCATCGCCGATTTTGACCCGGCCCAATTTTAGATTGTTCACGCTCAGAAATAGGCGGAAATATACTTCTTGAATGCGTTTTTTTCACATGTGGCGGAGTTTTTCAATAACTTTTCACCCAAAATATATATCTTTAAAGCGATTGCTTCTCTGAAATTATTAAATCCGTTTTTTGAAAACTTTTAATTTAAATAACATTGGCGTAATTTGCGTCCATAAAGATTCAGAAAAACACGTAGCAAGAAAATATCAACTTTTAAACTTGAAAAAAAATAATAACTGTTAATTCTCACAATTTAACCTTTTTTCAAGCTACATGAGATAAGCTTAGTGACTTATACTAAAAAATCAAGCTAAAAATTAGAAATGACGTGGTACTTATCTTTCCGTTGAATGGACACTTGGAGGTAAAATATTTGAGGGTAAAGTTCACAGTAGCGGTCTGTTTTTTTTCTCAAGCGGGCGAGCGGAGGAGTGAAAATTTTCTCCTTTGAGGTCACTCCGCTGCCTTCACTCTCGCGTTTTCGGGGTTGCACTTTCATTCAATGCACATTATTTTTGATAAAATCTCACAATCTCGTAAATTGGTGCATACATTCATATAATTTTATATTTACTTTTTAAATCGATCCTACTATACACCGATCCGTAGTAAAAAAGCGACGATGGGTTCAATAAGTTCTAAGTGCGTCGCTAAAGCATTCACCCAAATAATACAATCTAGTTTCGAGGATGATGAATCGGACCCAGCCCAGGTGAAGAACATTTGTTAATTGCTGAAGTTTTATTAGAAAATAATAGCAATTATCTTGCACGAGATAACGTACAATTACATACCTATTGAAGAAAATGAAAACATCGTGGTAAATTAGTAGCTATTAGGCCTTATGTTAATTATTACGAATTTACTCTTATGTTTATTAGGTTGTATAGTTCATGATGTAAATTTTATTGATGATGAAAACGGGGAAATAATTGAACAAAGACAAGAGGTGTCTCTTACTTATTGAACCAATCGACAATTTTTTATTACGGATCGGTGGATAGTACGATCGATTTAAAATGTAAATATAAAATTATATGAATGTATGCACAAATTTACGAGATTGTGAGATTTTATCAAAAATAATGTGCATTGAATGAAAGTGCGAACGCGAAAGTGAAGGCAGCAGTGACCTCAAAGGAGAAAATTTTTACTCCTCCGCTCGCCCGCTTGAGAAAAAAACAGGCCGCTACTGTGAACTTTGCCCTCAAATATTTGACCTCCAAGTGCCCATTCAACGGAAAGATAAGTACCACGTAATTTCTAATTTTTAGCTTGATTTTTTAGTATAAGTCACTAAGCTTATCTCATGTAGCTTGAAAAAAGGTTCCATTGTAAGTAATTCTAAGCTAAAATTGTGCTGAATTTTTTAAATCAGGTAAAATTCGAAAAATTACAGCGTTTTAAAAAAATCGGATTTCAAACTTCTGCCACTTTCGTAATCCCGAGGATTCTACAAAACGAAATAATATATGTCCGCTTATTTCTGAGCATGAACAGTTTAAAATTAATCGCGTAAGTAATTAATTAAATTAATTATTTATTAAAATTAATAAATATAATAAGGTGTAGTAGAAGTGTTTTCGAGTGCCGGCGGTGCGAGCACGTAAGGGCGCCATTATGAGTTTTCTGAGGGCGCTATGTTGCCTAGAACGGGGCCTGCGCCTCCCACTTATGAAAGTAAAACCAAATGCCCAAATTTATGCAAACTGATATATTGAGGACGTTTTACGACCCATGGTTGACGAAGGAATTCCTCAATTGAATCCAGGAGATAAGGGGAAAATTTACAGTCAAAACGACAAAGCGTACTCGTATGCAGCGAAGAAAACTCAGCAATACGCAATAATTGTACACGATTATCTAGGTACTGCAGTAAAAAAAATCAGGACATTCATTTTAATGTCCTGATTTTGAACCCTTTGGATTTTTTGGGATTTTTTTATCGTGGACCAAAACATTGTACACTGACGATGTACAACTTCTAATGTACATATATACTTTGGAATGGTTAAAATAATACGTGAAAGTAAAACACCTCAGAAAAGTGACAAGAAGTTTTTTTATAGGGGAAAATGCAATGCATTCTTATCAGAGGTCGACGCCGACAAATTTTCGGCGGCGCCAGTTTTTGGTGATTTTTCGGCGGCGTCGGCGGCGCGGCGCGGCGTCGCAATGTTGAATGTATAGGAAATCAAATTTTTCGGCGGCGGCGGCGCGTAAAATAGTACCGGCGTCGGCGGCGTATGGTCTGCGGCGTCGACCTCTGATTCTTATAGTTAAGGATAAGGGCCGCCATATTGAGCAAGTTTCCCATCAAGAAAAGATTCGGTTGTAGGTAAGAAAAATTCTCAAGCAGTTGTTCAAATAAGTGGGTCAACCTCTTTATGACAAGAGTCACAAGAGTTTACGTAGTTACTTAAATAGCATAAGGTTACATAAACGAGCCATCTTATGTAATCTCCCGTGAAGATGAAATGAGACGAAATTAGATGGCGTACATTTTTCACCATCAAATTGCATCAGGCCCCGATCAAGATATAATTTATATTTGGGCAAAAAAATTGTAGCGCCCCAAGACGCTCGCAACCCCTTTCTTTTCCCAACCTTTGGTAGAGAGATTTTTATGGATTATAATAATAACACACGTCCCCATCTGTGAACCACCTGACCGTTTTTGTCCATTAATATAACTCGTTGCGTAGCGGTTGCCTGATGGTCGAATGGCGAATAAGTTGATGCAAATGACGAAGGAAAAATTCTGAACATTTTCAGATATATTTCATACACCTTTTGACAACTTTAATAACCCGCTGTTTTTTAGGCCTTTTAAGATGGCCTTATAGATTTGTCAGAATGTCTGTCTGTCCGTCCGTAGGCACGATAACTCTCTTTAAATAAGAGCTATCGACTTGACATTTTGCATAGTTCATCTTCGGGCAAAAAGTAAGATTGAGTCCGGAGATGGGCATGATCGGTCAAATGGTTTACCGGTGGGGGTCAGTGGAGTGCATGAGGTATTGTCCACCAAAATTTCTAAATTGTCGTAGAAAGCTGAAATTTGGTACAGAGGTTGATAATAGTTTCTAATGAAAGAATTGAAAGTAAAATTTGAAAAATTTTCATCCGCAGGGATCCTAGGGGGTGACCCATACCGATTTTTAAAACTCGTCCAATCGGGCTAAAATTTGGTGTGGGGATTGCTAATGGCTACTAATGGAAGCATATGAATTGAAATTCGACACATTTTCACCTGGACAGACCCTATGGGGTGACCCATACCAATTTTTCAAAGTCATTAAATCGAGCTGAAACTTTGTAGAGAAGTTGATAATGGCTCCTAATGGAACAATATGAATTCAACTAGAAACAATTTTCATCTGGAAGGACCCAATTGGGTGACGAGTGACCCATAGGATTTTTTAAAATTATCAAGCTGAAATTTGCTCACCATGCTGTTAATTGATACTAATTATAAGAATATCCACAACCTGATCTGACTCGGGCTATATCAAGTCTGCTCTGTAGGTTTTGTTCATATAATTTCATTATTAAGTATCACCGTGCCGAAATTTAGCTTCTTACGGCAATTTCCGAAAATCGGTATGGGTCACTGTAGGAATGAGAAATAACGGTATTGTGCAAAAATTAGGCGACCCCGGCTCCACTCGAAAGGAGCATCTCCCAGATAGATCCCGGACGTAATACCTTTATACTACGCGACCGCCACATCAATGCACCCGTCAAATCTCACTCATACTTTTCTTCCCCACATCACCCCCTCGGGTCTCTCCCGGTTAAAAAATTTTCCAATTTCACTACATATTCTTCCATTATAAGCCATTATTACGCTACATGCCAAATTTCAGCTTTCTATCACAATTTTGAAATTTTGGTACATAATACCCCACGCACTCATATGACCCACATTGGTCTAAATCTTTTCTGATCGAACCCATCTTCGGTCGTTGGACTGCCCAGATAAATGTCTGCATCAAATTTGGTAAAAATCGGCCAACTCCTTAGGGAGTTATGAAAAGACAGACAGACAGACGAACAGGTCGATTACATAAGCCCTGGTTCGAGCTAAAAATTATATGCCAGTCGTTCATAAGAGTTTGTCTTTTAGGTAATAATGCCGTCTTTAAAGGCCCCGCAAAGTTGCTTGAAGTAGGTTTTTATAATACATTTTCAATTTCCAATTAAACAGTGAAATGAATGCAGGGGAAAAAAATTGCGGTGAAAATTACTTTCACTTTGCCATACAAGTAGAATCAAAATGTACTTTTAAAAGTAACAGGAAAGTTCTAGCAAAGTGATAGTGAAAGTTGAGTTAAAATACTCCAACGGTAAATGAAAAGCAACGTAAATCCTTTGGTATTACCGTAGCATTGCCGTTGGTGTTAATATTTGCAAAATGAAAAGTAAAATGGAAACGTAATGACAAAAGTAGTGGTAAATCCTGAGTTAACATTAAACGTTAGTAACATAAAAAAATTTCCTTAGCATCGTCAAAACAATCCATAGAAACATACAAAAACTCGTTAGCAAAATAAAAAAGTTTCCTTAGGATCGTCAAAAAAATTCCTTAGCAATATAAAAAATTCGTAGCAAACGTAAAAAATTTCCCTAGCAACATAAAAAATTTCCCTAGCAATATAAAAAAAATTTTCTTAACAACTTAACAAAAATTCCTCAGCAACATAAAAAAATTCCTTAGCAACATAAAAAAATTCCTAACCCACATAACAAAAAATCCTTAGAAACATCAAAAAAATTCCTTAACAATTTTTATTAACAAAATTGGCCAATTCTTAGCAACGTTATAAAAATTACTAGATGAGTTAGGACTTTATAATTTCTGTACAAAATGCAAGATTAAAGTACTCTCACTTTGCCAAAATAAATTTGTTTTCTCAAATAATTTTTCTAAATTATTGTAATAAATACAAAGCACGTATTTCAAATATATGGATTTGTAATTGTAGCCCATCCTTGCTGCTAATACACAAGGAATGGCAGATTATGTCATATGCAAATTCATATTAATTAAATTTCTGATCGATTGACACTATCTGTAATTAATTTCAGTAGTCCCTTTGCGGGTGGAGCTTGTGTGAAGTGACATCAGATTCATCACCCAATCAAAGAGGCTTTCATCATTATTTGAATTTAAGTGTGGAACATTACCCGAATGAGCCGAATTATTTTATTATTTGGCACCAGTTATTTTTATTTTGTCGTTTAAATTATTCAATTTCGTATGATTTTCACGCCAAGATAAAAATAGCTGGTGTTAAATAATAAAATAATTCGGCTCATTCGGGTAATGTTCCACACTTAAATTCAAATAATAATGAAAGCCCCTTTGATTGGGTGATGAATCTGACGTCACTTCGCACAAGCTCCACCTGCACAGAGACTACTGAAATCAATTACAGTATGATTTAGTCAAAACCTACGTACATAAAATTTGTGAGGATGGAATAAAAACAAAACAAAAAAAAAGTTTAATTACTTTCCTCATCTTGCAAAACAAATCTTACGGACGTATTTGTTTCACGTTTACTCTTTATCCTACGAAATTAGGCAAGTCTGAGAGAGCAGCTATAACACCAGGTGAACGACTCTTTTTCTGAAGGAGAACTAAATTTTGTGGTTAGGGGTCAGACCTGCCGACGAATTCGAGTGGTGCTTATGTATGTACGAGATTTTGTGGTTTATCACTTTATGGCTACACTCTTAAAAAACCGGTATTAAATAAATCGTTACTGACCCGAGTATCCTCTACTCGTGGAAATGGCAAGCATTATGGTTTGGTGATATTTTAGTAATGACAAATTTCCTACTCGGAAACAAACTACTACTAAACCGATGGGAGGTTATTACCAAATCAGTACCCGTAGTATATCACTCTACCAGATTGCTAAGTGTGTATCCATCGTCCACGTCGCATAATATGCTGGCTAATATTTGCTCATGAGGTTTGGCATAAGCAAAACTCTTTTCGTTCGGAATACGTATGTATGTGGATTGTAAATCTACGTTATTATCTTATCACTCCGCGACGTGATAAATTTGCCACACGGCACCACTTTCAGTGCAAAACGTTGCAAATAGAGATACGTATTATAATCCTGTCCATACATACACAGATCATAATTAGGGCATTCGAAACCGGATTTTTCCATTTGTTAAACCAGTTTTTGGTTTTGAGATTATACGAAAACTATGTACATACATAGTTCTAAAGTTTTCTTGGAAACCTGTTCTAAATAAATTGGTTTTATCTAAATCTAAACCGGTTCCCCCATTTTGCTAAGACTCTGGGAAGAAAGGCATTACCAGAATATGTATGTATGTATGACTCAACCGCTACGGTAAAAATTTGTTACCGAGTAGTAGTAAGTTTCTTACCATGTCAGTAATTTACTTCGCGGTTGCTTTATTACCAGCCTGGCAGTAGCACGCACACAGTAGCAAATTTTTACCGTGGCGGTAGAATCGTATACTCCGCTCGGTAATTCCTTGATTATTCGAAGTTTTGATGTATACAACCCATTACGTGTATTTCATCATGTGTCATGTGATAAACTCGTCAGAAATTTTTTTCTCAAACTAAAGCATAAATATTCGTTTATACTTCTCATCGTCATGCACTCCTCCAAATCCGATTTGTTGATTGGTTAAAAATTTGTATTTTCCTGGCAATCTTATTGAATAGCCAATCAAACCATGGGATTGGGAGGAGGGCATGATGACGACGTGAAGTAAAAACATTGCTTAAATGTACTCTAAATTTTACAAGGCAAAATTTAGCAAATTATTTGCAAAACCGTTTTAAACCCGGTTTTAGATGCCCCAAACATAACGATCCGTGTACAGCAGGTAATGAAAGATATGACGGAATTTATATGAGTGGAATAATACAAATGTAGGTACATAGATAAATATTTAAGCTGGGTGATTCTAGCTTTCGTTGTTTGCAATTGGAGATTTTGTACATTCTGTGGCAAAAAATGTACAAAATTTAATTTTTATTTAATACCAGTACTAGAGTGCGATTACAAAAGAAACTTTTAGAAAATGTATTTATTCATATGGAAGAAAAATTGCCACTGAATTGAAAAGCCGTAGTTTTGTAGTCCATGCGATTAGCTACCCAAATCAGAAAACCGGAAGTCGATATCTCGACTAGTTCAAAAATGAGAACAAAAAATCGGGAACAACTCGCAAAAAAGATTTGCCACTACTACGTAAACGTGTGCGAGCGCGTCCGGAAAATGGTTTATAGCTATTTCAAAAATGAAAAAATTTATATAGGGGCAATTTGCAGAGTTTTAGATATGTATGAGGTGAGCAGGAATGCTGAATTCAAAAAATTAAAAAATCGTCCTGCTCGTGTAGCGACCCCCAAAGTGACACGTAGACTACAGCAGGAATGACAAAATAACCTTGGAATATCAGATGGTAATTTGGGCTACAAATTGAAAACAGCAAAATTAAGTCTACATGCCGTTAAACCTACGAAGTTGGGGGTCAAATCCTATAGGGCGACACCTGCACCAAAGTACAACCAAGGTCAGCAAAAAAGAGCGAAGCACAACTCTCGGCAGAGTGCTGAAAAATGCGTCAAACAAAACATGCCCGTGATTCTGGTCGTGGATGATGAGACCAAGTGCTCGATTGATCCAGATCAAGTCCCTGGGAGGAAGTACTACTCGTGTACTAATAAAAAAACGTTTAAATATTCCTTCAAATACACGCCGAAGTCAAAATTCCCCACAAAGCACATAATCGGGCACGCATTGGACTCATTGGGGGACGTCTCAAAGCCGTTCGTGACCACAGCTACCATGACCTCGGAGAGATATCTGAACGATTGTGTAAAGAAGATCTTGATCCCCTTTATCAATAATCGTAATGTACTTTTCTGACCGGACACAGCAACATGTCATTCTTCAAAAGTTATTCAGGATTACCTGCGGTCGAAAAAAATCGATTTTTTGCAAAAAAGGAATATGCTCCCTACGTCCCTCGGGCAAGACCAATTGAACGATGTTGGGCATTATGCAAGTGAGAATATAGTTGTCGAACAAAACCACCCAAAAACTAGGTAAGATTCCGTTACATTTGGACACACACCTCAAAAGAGGTAGCGAGAAAGAGTGGCAAAGCACTTCTGGGGGCCGCGAGACAAAATATTCGCCAGATAGGAAGGATGGGGGTCTATGGACGGAATGAAGCAAAAAATTGAACGCTAAGGACCTTGTTCTTAACCCCTAAAAATGTAATTGGAATTAATTAAGTGTTCCGGATTTTACAGGATTTTTTTCAAAAGTTTCTTTCTTTTGTAATCGCACTCTAATTCATTTTTGTCCTGACTATACCCTCCCCATCCTTGATATGGAACATTTAGAAAGATTGAAAGCAATTCATGATACCGGGTCGTTCTTCGAATTCAAGGTATACAAATTATACGGAGCTTAATTGTAACAAATATGTATTCATTGCAAAAAGCATGATTTCATCTTTAATACTATTAAACATGAAATGATGATACTATTAATTTAATACTATTGAGGGTGTTCATTAATTCTTCGAATCCTTAGTATTCTTCGTATCGTAAAATAAGTTACTATATAGATTTTCTTAGCAGAGTAAGATTTTCTCATTAAGAATCGCGTTACTACGCTGACGATTTTTACGAAGCTTGATCCCTTGTTTTTACCTCGTTAAATATTTTACGATGCTAAAGCCTAGTACTCAGGTGGGATTAATGTACCGGGTACATTTGTGTAATCGGATAGTAGATTATAAATTCGCAATTTTTATATGTTCATTTTATTATGAGATGTGCCTAACAAAATTACACATTTGAAAGTTACGAATTTGCAACTTTCCACGCGATGAGAGAAATTTATCCGGTACATTTATCCCATCTGGACACGCACCTTAAGGATACAAATAATAATGAATATCCACATTACATATGTATGTACATGTTTACACATATTTCAGAATTCCTTACTGAGCCTAAAAAGTCAGTCTGCTGTTGACCCAGGGTTAAACTATGGTTTACTAGGTATGTAATACTTTTTGACTGATAAGATCGACATATGATAGTACTTCTGCAGTGACAATGAACAAAGCAACCGGAAATATAAATATCAATTCATAGTTAACATTAAGGAGGGAAGTGTTATGTGTATTCCGGACGTTAAAAAAATGTTTTAACCCTAATTTCATGGGGAGCATGCATAAAGAATGTGATTGATCCGTCTAGGGAGGTGGGGGTTGAAATGAGGTAATGCTACGAAGGCATGTCACGTTGAAATTATTTAAAACATCGACTAAATACGTAATTATTGTAAAACGAAATTATTTTTAGGGTGTATGTAAATTGTTAGAGATAATTCCTAACAATTTATTATTTTTAAAAACCCAATTGCCATGAAATTTGAATTTCGGAATTTTTCGAAATCCATAAATATACCAAATTAATATAAACTTTTAAATTCTCAAATAATATTGCAACTAGAATTTTATTATGCCTGCTGATCTAACATGTTTAGAAAAGCCTCAAATTCGCGGCTCGGGCTCTAATTAGTGCATTATGAAAAAGTGCAAATCCTGGTTTCCTAATTTTTTACGGGAACCAAACGATTTATTGGAACCAGGCTCAAAAATCTGAGTTTTACACCTGAAAAACCTGCAATGTTATTAGTACTATGATTAAGATACAGGTACAAAATGAGCCAAAAGTGCAAGTCTTTTTCGCATCGATTTCACCAAATTGCACATAAAAAATTACAAATTCAGTTTTGGGTGGGGGGATTAATATAGCATAGCTTTTTTGAATTATATTCAACCACACCCCCTTCAAAAATTGGGGAAGAAAATTGGGAAAAATGAGAAGGTCAATGTACACTCGGTACAGAAAGAAGTAGATACCAACTTGCATTTGACATTTGACTTCCCTCATGAGTATGAACATTTTGATGCATCAAGACTTTCAAAATTCGAAAATTGTCGGTTTTTCGACCTACATATAAATCGTTAAAAAAGTGACCTTAGCGGTCATTTTGCGGCTGACAACCTGATGCCAGATTTTTCTTCGTCAGAAGTGCCAAATTTTCCGCTTTTGTTGTCCGCTGCGAAATGACCGCTACCATGACTTTTTTGGGGTCAAAGTTTCTGAGGGAGGGGCTTATACAGCAAGAGCCATAACAAACTCTGGCCACTAATGAGTACAGAGAGAGAGAAACAGAGTGAGAAAATGGATCGCGCATACGATCCTAACGCACGATGGTGGTGGATACCCACCGCCAACTACTTTTCTCACTCTGTCTCATCTTCTCCTGCGAATATGGGAAATGATTTTGTGTTACATTTGGCCTGGTTTTTATCTACAGTCAAAAAGTATGCGTCCCTTCGTAGTCGCCAGGCTGCTCGGTCACGTGGGCACAACTAATCCCGCATTTTCTAAGGATGACATTCATTTGGACAAAGAACGCTTTGCAGAGTTTGAAATTTTAATTGGAGAAAGCACAAATCTAAATTTCCTCGATGCTGGAGATGGTCAATCCATTTTGCACAAACGGGCCAAAATTGGCTGCCTTAAAAGCGTTTTGTTTCTGTTAAGTAGAAATGCAAGTGTTAATTTGGTTTCGACAAGTGGGGATTATCCGATTCATTTAGCAGCCGAGTCTGCTCATGCAGATTCGCTCCAAGTTATTAAGGTAAATTTTATTTAGATAAGTGAAATCTTAAAATTATAAACCATTTAGTACGAACAAATTGCAACGTTTCCGGTTTTGCTGGTCAGGCCATGGTGCTATTTGGAGCCGACGTAAACACCATAAACCATGAGGGAAAATCTGCAAGACATATTGTAGCTGAAAATCCAAAGCATGCCGAAAATGGGAGCAAACTTTTTCGTAGCTTGGGAGCAAAAAGGTTTAAAGATAAACCATGAAATAGCCTTGTTTTATTAAATATAGTGACAACGGAGAGGTGGTTATGGTTATCGCCGCATTTTACCGGACATAAATTACTCATATTCAGAAGTAAGCGGACAAATTCATTTAGTTTTATAAAAAAAATTTCTCAAAATGCTGGAAATTGTCAAATTTTAACCAGATTGAAAAAATTAGACACAATTTTTGCTCACAATTACTTCCCTGGAATTATAGACATTCATTTTTAGACAGCTTTTAATTTTTAAACAATTAATGCTTATGTATTATTAAAACTTTAGACTAGCAAATTCAAGTTACAAATTTTTTAAATTGAATTTTTGTAATTTGGGGGAAGTAATTCTGAACACAAATTATGTTTATTTATGAAATCTGATCAAAATTTGAAAATGTGCAGCATCTTGAAAAACACAGCTTTTGGCAGGAAATTGGTTTAAAATTTTCCTCCACAGGCGAATATATGTACACGCATTCTGGAAAAAGCAAAATATAGTGGGCTAATTTCTTACTGTGAACGATTTAAAATTAGTCCGACCAAAATCGGAGATAACCACCTTACAAATCTCCATTGTTAGATATGTGAATTCTTCACAGAATTATTTTACAGTTGCCCCGAAAACAGTGAATTCCTCTGCTCACACAATTGTGATGGGAGCAAACGGACAGAAAATGAGCTGAAACTGAATTATAAAGAAGGCCGTGAATTTTCCAAAACTGGAAATTATTTGTAATTAACCATTTCATTGATTAATTTATAATTGAATATATTTCCATAATCATGCTTCTATAAAGATACATTTTTTCTCAGTCCATCGACTAATCCGAAATCTTTATGTGTGCTAAGTTTGGATGGTGGTGGAATTCGTGGACTAGTGCTGACTCAAATGCTTTTATTTCTCGAACAGGTCAGATTTTAATATTTGCAAACTAATATATACTAACTGTTACCACTCTGACAATGCAAGTCTTTTACGTGTACAACTCAGATCTGGTCGGGACCAATTTTATTTTGTTCACCACAAAAAATAAGCATACCCGTATTTTTTCATTTTTCATAATGCGCCAATTTGAGCGCGTGGCGCGAATTTTAAAACATTTTTCAGCCAAAACCCCGCTTTTTAAAAATTCTGTAAATTTTCGAATTTTAGCGCGAATCCAAAAATTCGAAAACATGTCTCTTCAGAATGACTTACCTGACTTATGAAAAATCCAATTGTCTCGAAATTCGAATTTCAAAATTTTTTGCCAGTTTTTGAAATTCATTACAATTATAAACTCTTTCAAATTATAAATTTTTCGAAAAATAATGCATGTGGATTTTTTATAAGTCAAGTAGATCATTCTGAAGAGACATATTTTCGAATTTTTGGATTCGCGCTAAAATTCGAAAATTTACAGAATTTTTAAAAAGCGAGGTTTTGGCTGAAAAATGTTTTAAAATTCGCGCCACGCGCTCAAATTAGCGCATTATGAAAAATGGAAGAATACGGGTATGCTTATTTTTTGTGGTGAACAAAATAAAATTGGTCCCAACCAGATCTGAATTGTACACGTAAAAGACTTGTATTGTGAGTATCATAAATTTAAAGAAAATGCATTAATTCGGGGAAGTTATACATACATAATTTTGTATAGTGCGGAGGGGGGGGGTTAAGTGGTCTTAATAAAACTCGGAAAAAACTAAACAAAAAATTAGAAATTCCAAAATGTCCTCTTAAAAATGAGACAGAGCAGGTTTTACGCCGCGAAAATAAAATGTTAAAAATACATAGTGGGGTCATAAGTTCTCGTGAATGCATTTCCGGTAATAAATCCCAAAGTATTAGAGCTATCTGTTCGAAATTTTTATGGATTAAGAAGCTATTAATATTGTTTAGAAATCATAACTTCTTTGTCAAGATTTCGTCCACGGGCAATTAGACAAGACATAACTCGTGACGGCCACAGGTTGATCGTGGTACGCGCCAATTTTCGTGCAAAGTATTTCAGACTTTTCACCGTTGGCAAAAATTTAATAGAAAAAGGCCAGATATTTGTTGTACAGAAGTCTGACATCCGTTTAAGTATGCGGAAGTCAATACGAAGTCATCACCGTGGTGTGCATGGGAGCAAGTTGGCTGGAGAAATGAAATCTCTGTTTTTTATCGCAAAGGGTACAAGTTGAAGCCAAGAATTATTTTCAGAGTGTCCTAAAGCCAAACGTTAATAACCTGAACCCTGGACCCTCCGAAAATCGACATTAGACCTTTCAACAAGACTCTGTTCCTGCGCAAGGTGCAAAATTGTCCAAAACTGGCTTCAGACGAATTTTCATGACTTTTTTTCATCCGTAGAACGGTGCTCAGTATCTGCAGACCTTAATCCCCTAAATTATGACTGGTGGTCAAAATTATAGGTACAAGTATGCTCTAAATTTCACCCAAGTGTGGAAGGGCTGAGGTCGCACTTACTGAAGATCTGGCGCTTTTCCCAGGAAATCCGTGCGTGCCGCGATCGAGCAGTTTTCGCCACGACTTATGTCTTGTGTACAAGCCCGTGGAGGAAATTGTGAAAACGAAGTTATGATTTAAAAGATTAATACCTTGTTCATCCAAAATTTCTATCAGATAGCTCTATACTTTGGCTTTATCACCGGAAATGCATTCACGGGAACTTATGGTCGGACTATGTAAGTCGCTTTTTAGTCCCTCAATCCCTTTTTTAGTGTTACTTGATGTAAACCAGTCATTAAATTGTACTAATCTAGGAATAACATGCGAATAAATGACTACCAACCAAACAACAATGACCTTCCAGGCAAGATATTTATCTTCCCGTTGAACAATAACCACAATGTTTTAGGTCTACTTCAGTCCTCCCGCAGAATTATACAACTTCCTATTAAACGACCATTCTTGTCGTTAAATACTCATCAACCTAACTTACGAATGAAACTCAACATTTTTATTCTAGTATACTGGCATAGAAACAAGTGATATTTTCCAATTCTACGCTGGAAAAGTACCGGCGGCATCCTGGCGTTGGGTTTAACCACTGGCAGATCCGTGTTGGAATGTCAAGGGCTATATTTCCAGTTGAAGGATCAAGTTTTTACAGGCGGAAAGCCATACGAAGTCAGTAAATTGGAAACGCTGTACAAAAATGTTTTTGGACATGATAAAAGACTCGGGGATATTAGAGCCTCAAAGTAAGTTGTTTCTGTCGTAAATTTGTTTCTTAAGAAACCGAAGACATGTACAGAGTGGTTCAATAAGGACGCTAAATTCCTACGCTGCGAATTTTTTTAATTAATGTTCCAGAATTTCCATTATTTACAAGAAATCACAAATTCCTCCGTAGTATTCCGAGGAAAAAATGCAAAATTCTCCAAATCAGAAGGTTTTGACCTTAATTTTCATGTTTACTGGGGTATTCTAAGGGTGAGGCAAAACGGAGATTTTCCTAATATTTAATGTCACAAAAGGACCTCCGGTGATACTTTGTCCCCAGTTATTTTCAAAATTGCATTTTTGAATAAAAGCCTCCATTTCGCCTTACCCTTATAAAGGTACATAACCATGAAAATTAAAGTCAAAACATTCTGGATACAAATTGTAGTAAAACTTTCAAAATATAGCATATAATATTTTCATTTCGACCTTGATTTTTTTGCACCTGTTGGAAATCATGGAAATGTTGCAGAAAAAATTCTCAATGTAGCGTCCCTTCTTAAACCACCCTTTTACATTGACCTCGTATTTTTTTAGAGTAATGGTAACTGCCACCAGAGTGAGTTGTGGGATTCCAGATCTCCACATTTTTCGAAGCTATTCTCCGAATGGAGGTTCCAACTCGGATTTTATCTGGAGCGCGGCCAAACTAACTGGAGCTGCGCCTTACTATTTCCGGATGGAGCACGCCGACTTGGTAGATGGAGGACTACTTGCTAATAATCCAAGCCTTGACGCACTCTCGGAACTAAGCAAGATTCGGAAAAGTTCTTTGCATACAGAAATTTGGGGAAAGGTGAGTGAAATTGATAAAGCAAGGAATTGAAGAAAGTCACAATTTTGTTAAATAACCTAAGACTACAAAATTTATACAATTCAATTCAAAATTCGCAGTACCAATATGCAATAATATATAGACAATGACGATTCTTGACATGTGATGCCTCGGAGGTCATTATTTTGACCTCCGAGGTCAAAGTAAACGGTCACCATTGAAATCTTTCATAAATATTTCCTGCACAATCCGCGCAAACATGTGACTTAACTTTTTTTATGATGTTTGCCCTTTAAGAGGCAAGTGACCAATTGACCCCAAAATCACTAGCGGTCCTTTAATGACATAAACTTTCGTTTAGATTTTAAAGTTCTTCCGAGGAGCCGTTTTTTAGATAGCTTGCTAACAATCAGACAGACATACTAACTTATCGATAACTTCAAATAACTTGTTACATATTTAAAAGCAATTGTACGTATCAAAATGAATCTAACGTGTTTGGTTTTAAATTAGAATCCAAAGATGTTTGTCTCGTTAGGAACAGGATTTAAGGCAGATGTCGACTATACGGCAGCATATCTAAATTTGTCCTCTAAATCCATCGCATCCTCAACAAAGTCACTATCAACCTTAACAAACACGATAAAGTTCTTTATGGAGCTGGTAAAGAATAATTTTTAAGTCTGGTAGAAATATCGACGGATAAAGATAATCATCTTATACATAATCTTGTAGACAACTGCGTCCAATGGGCCCTTAATTTCGAGAGCTAAATCTTGGTGTGATGACCTTGGAACGGAATACTTCCGGTTTAACCCTCCTCTATTACGAGAATATGAAATAGATGAAGTGGATGATTCTCTTTTAGTGGATCTTTTATTTGAGACACGAATATATATGATTGGTCAACAGAAAGAGATTGAAAGATTGTATAATTTGGTGCTTAATTAAATTTATAATTACAGTTTTAAAATTTGCATAAAGTACATATAAAAATTGCCATATATGTATTAATTAGCATGTTTAATAAGTAAAATAATTAACTAAAGCAATAATACAGAGCATGTGGCACTTATTTTCGAAATTTTTATGAATACGCGTAGAGGAAACCCGTTTGAAGTAAAAATACCCAGTTTTCCGTATATGTATGATAAATAAGCGGATTAATTTCGTCAGTGATTTGTTCTTACTAAAACTACAGATAAATACGACCCCCAGGCTCGAAGGGAGTTGACGTACGCGTAAAAAGTTTTCCACCCAAAGTTGCACTGGAAATGTGATAAATTTGTAATTGGGAACTAACGTCATCCTTTTTCAATCTGGTACTGTTCATCCATTTTGTAACCGATATGAAGTGGTTCTTGAGCGAGATGAGTCGTTTTCCCTTAGAGTTAATGTCCAGCTGATACGGTAAGGGTGGAGAATTGGGACGTGGTTCTGTTAGTATTTTTTACCTTAATTTACTTCAACATTTCCTACCTCTTTATTCATAAATAACTATTACGGCGGAATCAGCCGTAACTTTTCTATCTGATGTTGATCTCCTTTTCGACAAAATCCTGAGAAGTTACACGAAAAGCTCACTCCATCCAAACCATTCGTGAATCTGAAGGATGGGCTCTTTTTGCCCCTTTTCGACTTTGTGGACTCTTCATAGAAGATTTGGAATAAACTAAATATATACAGCCAATTTGTCTATTAAAATCCTCCTCCACGGGAAGGTTTACTCAGCAGTAAAGTGGATTCGTTCATTTTTTCCGCGTACCGCTTGTGACGAGCTTGTCGTTCCTTGACTCTTGTTTTTTTCATGGGGAGCTTCATCATATGACACGTACCGCCTTTTTATCGCCTTCAAACCGAGGTTCATTTTGAGTGCATCTCAGACTGATTTTGCCGAGACCTTCATTTTCATATGAAATTGTCGTTGGCTCCGGCGTCAATTACTTAGGATTCTGGCTTCGCGTGCTTTGAACATTGTCAGGTTCCTTATAAAATTTAGGGAATATTTCCTTTGACATTTCTTATAGAGCGAATGCCAGGGTATATCTTGACATACACTTGACCAACATAAAATAAACTTTGAATGGCTTTGATCACTTTATAATTTCAGTATTTTCATTTCCATTGCAAAAGTGAAAAATTTCAATGTTGCCCGTATGTACTTGCCTAGATTGTACACTCTAGAATTGAAAAATTAAAAATTCGCCGATAAATCCAAGTCGCATGGGGGTTATGATGAATTTATCAGATTTCAATTTTGTCAAGTACTTTTCGAGTAATCAGCTGTTAGCACTTTAGTGTTGCACGATAGGTATGTACCTAATTACCACGGTGCCCCATTAGACGGAATTGTTCGCAAATATTGTCCAGTTTCTCAAAAAAGCACAGTGCCAACCTGTACGGCATGAAATGTATACATACATGAAGTTGACTTCTAAATCACCGGATTCGATAAGATTGGCACAACAAAAAACAATGATCCTTTCACATTTTCCTTGCTTCTTTGATGATGTTTATCTTCAAGTCGTATCTCCGTGGCATCCAAGAATGTTTGAGAATTTCGTAACTAACCCGTAACCAACAAGCCAGACCGTTCTTGCACTCGACAAGAAAACAAATTACCGCTGGAATTAATAAATAGGCACATACTCCAAAAACTGCGGTTAATATTTTCAACGAAACTGTATCCGCTTCGTGGAAAGTGGCAGAGTCTTTCGGGTTAACCAGAAGCTTATTAAATTGTGACTTTTAATTTATTAAGCGTTTAAATAGTTCCCGCATCCACTCTTGGTGTTCCAGCTTATTCTCAATTCCAGATGCCGAAAAGTAAGCGAACCATTTAGACAACATGGGATGGAAACAGTTCTTAAAGCCAAGCGTCAACCAAACCATGACAAATGGAGTGTCCTCCTTACTGTCTATTATTAAACGTTTTCCATTCAATCTTAGCCATGTCTGTACAGGTCGAATATCCGTATTAGAATCCATAATAGCGAACGTGTGGGCAGTATCGAATCCAAGTTTCGACAATTTTCGGGACTCCGAAATACTTCGAACAAACTCGTGTAGTTTGACCCCCCAATTTCCATCTGCAACAAAAACCAGCTTTTTGTCCTGGGTATGAATGAAATTATTGAGCTGGGGTTTGCTATCTAAATATTTGAGCAAGTTAGGTATAAACACATCCGACAGGGTGGACCTTTTTTCCTTACTATCGCCGACGTAATTAGTACCTGTCGTCATTATTTGCAGATCAGAGTTGACAAGTTCATCAAACCTTTCCGGAACTCGGGGATGCTTTGGTGCGGATAGAATTGAGAAGATTGACCCCGTGTATAGGTTATCTGTGACCAGAAGACATCCACACAAGAGCCAAACGGCGACAATATACATTCCTGAGCTCTTGCGTGTGAATTTTGTTAACCAGTCCCCACCTGTCTGACGAAGAAGGTAAGCGTAAACACTTATAAAATTTCGCGTACCTTGTATCAAAATTTCTAGGGAAGTCGTTGTGTTCTGATTAAGCGAAATTATGATTGAAATTAAGGCACCAAAAACAATTAGACCCCACCACACTTCACTTTCAAACGGGATAAGCAGTGCGCCCATATCCTTGAATGGGGCTGCGTATTGTGTTACGACTATAAATTTTATCGCGTGAACCGTCAGCGAATACAGGATACTCTTACTCTGTAGGATCGTTGCCAACGTGCTAGCAGATAGTATGAGGTTGCAGTCATATTGCGAAATTCCATATGCTGAGGCAAGCTTATCATATGGCATGTACGTAATCGTAAAGTTGAAATGGAGTGAAAGGCATTTTAATTCGCAGAGTTTGGCATCCGTCAGCTTTCTTGCCCAAGTCGAGTCAATCTCACAGTGGATTCCTTCTGGATCAAGTTAGTAGGGCGTCAACATTTTACCGCGCATTAGGTTTTTATTGGTGGTTAACCACTCCTTGTCCATGGATTTGATGGAAATTAGTAGTACTTTGCGCAATAAGGCGGTATCGCACGATATACATGGAACAAATAGGTAGTCGGGGAACTTCCCAGCCAACAATTCTTTGTGTTTTCTGGATCAATTCGGCCACAATTTTCGACCTATTCGGGACCGATTTCTTGACGATTCGTACAGAAATCCCAAAGAAATCGGTGGGAAATGTCCGCAGAATCGTACAGAATTCTTGACGATTCGTCACGACTTTTTATGCCGAACTCTGTACGAATTCTGTACGAATTCTTTCCGATTCTTTCTCGACTTCGTGACGATTTCTGATGGAAATCCTAACGAATTTTGTACGAATTCTGCCCGAAATCACTACGATTTACATTTAAATAAAAAATTAGATAGACCAGTTGCCCTTTTAAATAATTTTATTACTTTTGTGATCATAACAAAAAATAAACTAATTATTTGTAAATTAATTCTGTGATGATGGCGAGGGCAGGTTGTTGGTGACTGGCTGTTTCCTGTGAAATTAAAAGAGGTTATAAATATTTTGCACCATATATTGATAATAGCAAAAATTTCTCACTTATTTCTTTTATACACACGATCGCCGGCCTTAGTCAACTCCCTCGAGATTCCGTCATCAATTTTTGAGTGGTCAGGTGTCAAAGGGCTCATCAGAATTGCCGCACCGCCTAATAATTAAAAAATAGTAATAAATTCAAGGGAAGAAACCCTAATTATATGATTCACCCTACTTATTCATACTTACTGTGTAGGACATATTTTATATCCGCTAGCGTAGATAACGAAAGCTTTTTCTGCATTCCTTTTAGACTATATTTGGACAATAAATCGTCGGTCATCAATTTTTTCATCATCTTGCTAATGACATCAACTTCCTCGTATCCTCTCACTCCTCCAGAGACGATGGTGATCTGAATACCCCAAAGAACAATTACCACAAGCAAAACGAGATAAAAACGGATAAAACTTGCTACAACATTTTACAAAATGAAATACTTACCAGGTCACCTTTTGCTACGTCAGACGACTTTACCATGTCATTTAGCTTTTCCAATTCGACAGTATTTGTAATAGGAAACGTAAATTTCTGTAGTTCCATTGAAATCCGTGTATTTGAGGCAGAGCGACCTTTCCCTCCATCGAGAATTGTGTGCAGAATTTCACCTTGTTCTGCCAATGCAAGTTGAATTCCCTTGACCATCTGCAGCACTGTAATTAAAATAACCGAAGGTTTATTTAGATATTCTTTGGATAGTAGAAATAGTACAAAATTTTTAAAAAAGCTCACATTGAGTAATTTCGCAGGGATCCGTCTGAACCTCCTTCTCATTGGTGTCAATCGCTGGAGAGACGAAATACACCACGTCTTGATCTTGTGTGACAGAAGACGCCTCTCTTGACAAGTTCTCGTTCTCTTCTAGAATAACGTTGGCGTCGCTAGGAATAACGCTTCCAGACTCATCAATTTCGGGTGGCGTGGGAAGAGAAACCTGTCGTTTTGATTTCGATGCCGACGTGGCGCTTCTTTGTTCTTCAAAATCCGAAGTATAGGTTGCTGCTTTCAAATTCTGCCGAGCTTCGTTGTAGCTTCCTGAAAAATTGGACAAAAATTCAATGGTTTATAAAATTATGAATGTAGTTTGGAATGTGAAATGGAATGTAAGGCAAATGACATGTGAGCTTACCGTACGCATTTCCGACGATCAGAGCTTTGCATTTTACCCACGTCTCGAAATTCGGTTCGGCATAATTTTTAACAAGTTTATTTACATTATTCGGTGGGGGTGGCCAATAACAGACTTCTCCAACCATCCACGGCTTGGCAACAACGGCAACAGCATCATTCTCTTCAGGAAATTTCACAATTTGGAATTCCATTATTTAACTACAATGTAAAAGGGGAACACAACAGTTTTTAAATTGGATTCGTTTAAAACAACACACTTGTAATTAATCTCGGAGATAGGATTTGT